TGACTGGTTTAGGGACTCTTATCAAAAAACTATCTAAATACCTGGTAGATATAACTTAAATACATGGGATGGGACAGTTTCCCATCACATTGGTTAGGAATGTATAAAGAGCATTTGGTACTATTGCAATCTATGAATTTTAGGAAGTAATAAAATAAATTTATGCCATATATAGCTTTGGGTTAATTGAGATTTGAGTTCTATTTATTAATGTTCTCTATTTAAATTCTCTGCTTGATCTCTCTGGGCTCTAATATCCATTGTAATGGATAACAAGACAGTCACAGACAAACTTCATGATTAAAAGTGTTTATTGAGGATGTTAATAAGTTTCAATGCCAGTGAGAAATGCTCAAGGTAATTGTTTACCAGGACATGTTACAAAGCTTCAGATCTGCTAATAAATAGCCAAAGGGGCAGACCACTTTGCTATAAGCTTCAACCCGAAATCATTCAGCTCAAGATTTGTGTGCCAGCAAGTCCAGCTCCTGGAATGCAGTGCCCAGAGACACCCTGCTCCAGTAAACCTCAGCCTGAAGGTGCTTTGCTCCACTTCTGTGCGTCCGCAAGTCCAACCTCCCCAATTAAGGGTCCAGAGGTACCTTACTCTGTAAGGAGCTTCCTACACAAAAGCACACAGCTTTACTTGCTCCTTGGGTTGGGTAGTCCAGCACTCTGTTCCGTGCTCTGCCTCGTGGTTCTGCTGGTGCTCCTCTGAAGGCAGAGCTGTCATCTGGATCCAGGAGGTTTGTTGTGCAGAGAGCTGAGATCCAGAAGACTCGCTCAACTCCTAGCTCTTTCTGGTAATGAGATCCTTCTTGCTGCTTCTCCAAGGGCTCATTTTGTACATAACAGGATGACACTCCACGGAATCCTGTTTGCATTTACTCACAAATGCATCTGATCAATATCTTCCCCTCACCTTCTTCCCAGACCCATGCAGTAGAAGGTAGAACCTTCTGATTAGAAGATCTACATTAAATAATTTGCTGCCACTGCAATATTCTTAACATTTAGTGATTTATCGGTTTATACCTAACACAGATAATAGGAATTTGTCATGTTATTATTTTTCTCTTTATTTATTTACTTAATATCGTTAACTCCAGATTTAAATTTTTAGCTTTTACCATTCTTGTTTTGGTGGTTATTAATTTATTAATTGAAACCTATTATACCCAGTCCTCTTATTTCATGTTTTTCTGAGTTGTTCTTTTATGTCAGTTCCTTGTTTGTTTCTTTCTGGCTAACTTATAATGAAAGCATTTTTTTACTAGAAATATATATATATATATATCTTCATAATAGCTATATATATGTGCTCTCAAGGTAGCATGTGCAATATTATTAATAATATTGTTTCTCTGTTAGTTTGTTGTACAGCAGTGGCTTGCGTGTTGCTAAAAGTTGTGTCAATAATATTTTTGTTGGTATTTTAAATATCAGCAGGGTCGCCCAAAGTGAGCAGGTTTCCATAGAGCTCCAGGCTAAACTGAGTAGGAAGAAGGAAACTTCTGAGGGATTAGCCACTAAAAACCCTATGCGTAGCAGTGAAACATTGTCAGCTATAGGGCTGAAAGATGGAAAAGGATGATGATTTCTAAGTGATTATCCACTAAAACCTCATGAATAGCTGAGACACATTGTCAGACAGCATGCTAGAATTTGAGCCCTTCATGTTGAAGGGGACTCAAAATGTGACTGGGAAAGAGTCAACCGTAATGATGTGGGCAGAATAAAGCTTTTGGAACCTTCATACGCTGGTGGGGCACAATCCAAATGAGAAAAAACAATTGCCAATATCAAATTCTAATCAGAAGGTTGAATGTATGATGTATGAATCTAGGAAAATAGGATGTAAAAAATGAACTGGAATGCAAAAAGAATGTTATCTTAGTCATTAGGGAACTGAAATGAGCTGATCTTGGCTAATTTAAATAGGTAAACATATGGTTTACTATGGTGAGAATGACACATTTAAAAGGAACCTCAATGCGTTCATTATCTAAAAGAACATTTTAAGATCTGTCTTAAAGTACAAAGCTGTGTGTGATACGATGTCTATCGGAATACAAGGAAATCCTAACAGTACAACTATTATTCAAGTTTCTATATTAACCACTAAAGCTAGTGATGCAGAAATTTAAGAATTCTACCCAGCAACAACATACTGCATTTGACTAACATTGCACAAGACCTCCTTAAAGTTTTGAAGAGCAAGGATGTCACTTTGAAAACTAAAGTGCACTTAACCCAAGACACGGTATTTTGAGTTGTGTCATGTGCATGTGAAAGACACGGTATTTTGAGTTGTGTCATGTGCATGTGAAAGACACGGTATTTTGAGTTGTGTCATGTGCATGTGAAAGTTGGACAATGCATAAGGAAGACTGAAGAAGTGCTGCATTTGAATTGTGGTGTTGGCAAAGAATACTGAAAGTAAATAAATTTGTCTTGGCAAAGTATAACCAGAATGATCCTTAGAAGCAAGTATGGTGAGCCTTGGTTTCAAGTACTTTGGATATGTTCTGAAGAAAGACTAGGCTCTAGAAAAGGCCACCCCATTAGTGAAGTAGAAGCAGGGAGGAAAGAGGAAGAGCATCGAGGAGATGGACTGGCAAAGAGGCTGCCGCAATGGGCTCAGACAGAGCGAAGATTGTGAAGGTGGGGCAGGACATGGCAGTGTGGCCACCGACTGTGAATTGGAATGGAGGTGAGGCACCTAACAAAACCATTCTCAGTAAAAGAAACAGGCCACAGTCTTGTATTTCACTTTATATTTTTTAAAAGATATTTTTGACCCAAGAAATATATACTTTTCCATCTTTCAAATGAAAACTCTTGCTTAGGGGTGTGAAATTATTGTCAAGATTACAAAATTAAGTTTAGAGATGGAGCTCTCTCCCAGCTCTTCTGACATTTTCATTTCTTCTATTACTGCACTCCCTTCCTTTGGCAAACGATCTTAAGAACTCATTGTACTGGATACTTACTAGATGTGAAGCACAGTCATCTTCCTAATGATAACAACCCATGAGAACATGCATTTCTATGAGGTTAATATTTATAATGCACAGTCTACATTGGGGTAGGACAGGCTTAAATAAGGTATATCTACAGTTCTATTAAATTACATTCATTGAACACCTTTCTCCCCATCTCTCAATACCAGGTCTTGACTCTCTTTGTGCTCCATTCCTATATTTAAATTTTAATAATGAAGGTAAGTCTCTTTTAATTTAAACAAATATTGTCTAATATCATTCTATAATATTTTATTCAAACATCCTGGCTCTTTTTTTATTTATTATTTTTGTACTGGTAGGTACTGAAAATTACTGTGAAATCCCCTCAGATTTATGTTATTTAAAGTAAATAATAAATCCTATAAACTAGATATAATCATAGGGAAATAAAACTATTTGAATAGTTTTAAGAATGCACTGTTTTCTGCTATCATTACTTATTATTATAAACTAGAAGTTTTGCTGTATAGTTATAAATATCCCCATTAAAAATATTGATCCTAGAATAGTAAAGAATCTGTTTTGAAAGAATATGTGGCTAGATTTACTAAAAATAAACTTTAATACTCTTGTTTACATCACCAGTAATTAAGAACCATGAAGCTTGTATAGCTCATTAAGGATGATAATGTTTAGAGATGAAAAATTTATGTTGAGTAAATGAAAGCTGTCCTTATTGGGAATAATGAGTGTCACAGTAATTTGGAATGTAAAAATCCTAGAGTGGTTGTCATTTTTGCCCAAAATATTTTCTGACTTAAATGGTAGAGTTTTGGTCCCTATTTTTGATTCTCTAGTAATTATTATCATAATTGTTATTCAAATAGTCGACTTAAAAATATACACTAAATGGATGGCTGCTAGTCAATTACCTCATTAACTAATTTATCTTCTATCTGTCTTTTTTGCTCTGCTAGCTCTGGCATATGCGTGTATGTCTGCTTTTATTCCCAAATACCTTTATAACTTCTTCTTGAAAGACAACTCACATGTAATACAAGGTAAGCAAATGTCTTTCTTTTTAGAGGGGAAATACTTCTGTCAAAAATAACCAAAGTTCATTAAATATATGATTGTGATCCTGTAAAATCTTGTGATGATCTGTCATTAAAATCTACGTAGTTCATAAAGGTTAGTCTTTCTTCCAACTACATAAAAATTATGATTTTTAAATGCTTGTTTAATATGTGAATTTAATTCTGTTCACATGCTGGTGTACTGTCTAGGAAAAGGAAGAAATACTGTTATTTGCCTCTCTCACAATTTAAAAAATGCCCATAAAAGGATTTACTGTAAAGCAAGTATACTGAGAATTAGTAAAAAGTTTAATTATCATTTAAATATAAGTATAATATTACTTATTGTAATCTTGAGCACATTAGAAAAATGCTCTATGCCATTTTACTCATGTAATATATATTGTAAAGATTTCCCATAATCAAATATATAATTGTTACAGAGAAGCAAGTAATAAGTGCGGCTGTTACTTTATTAATGTTATTTTTCTCTACAATAATGATACCATGACATTAAATTTATTCTTTTTTAATAATCTTAACAAGATTCCAAATGATTTAAGGACAAGGAATTTTCTTATACTTTTCTGTTTCTTTTGGGAAATCTTACAAAGCTGGGCACCCCAGTGGAGTCTCCCCATCTGTCATTTTAATGACACGTTTCAGATACTCCTTTGATATAGAGTTTTCCTTCATGCATGTTTTTCATCATTTTACTATAATTTTAAGCTACTAAGAGCTAGTACTGTGTTTTATTTATATTTGTATAATTATTATAAATATCCCATTTGAATAAATAGAATAGGAAAACTAGGAGCTGTGTCTGAATTACTGAAACCTTCAATAAATGGAATTTCAATTAAATTTTCACTGTTTGTAATCAGGGGTGAATATGATAGGAATGCAATTAGGAAGGAAAACTTAAATTTAAAAGGAACTAAAAATAGGAGACTTAGAGAACTTGGATAAATAGCTTTGCATATGAAAGCATGTTTCCAGCATCTTTTATGTTGGAATGCAGAGTAAAGTAATTATGCTTTCAAATGGAAGCACTTGATCACTTATGGATCTTTGTATCTGCAGTGTAGAAGTGCTAGATATTGAACTACTGACCCAGTACCCCTGTGTTAGTTTTATCATATAAACTCCTTTGACTTATAGTTTTTTAAATGTTTCTCTTTGAAATGAATATATGTATGTCTTAAAATGAGAAATAAAAATAAAAATGTATAGTAGATGGAATAATATTCTATGCATAATGTATTGAAAATTTGCATTTTGAAAATTTCATAACTAGTTATTTTGAGAAAGTTTTGAATAAATCATAAATCCTTAAACTAACATATATATTTATATACTTCTACATTTTAAGCAAATACTTGAATGCATATTATTTCCCTCCTTGTCATTCATAGTAAATTATGTGATATATTTATGTTCTTACAAGGAATTGGTCTTTAAAAATTAAGAAGATCAATTTCTTGCTATTAAATATTTATTGTTAAAAATAATGTTAGGAAGATTTGAGAGATGGAGAGAATAGAGTCAAATGTTTTTAAATTTTAAATATTAATAAAAATTCATCCGCTTCCATTGAATTCATTCCAACTCATAAGACCAAGTAGAACTGTTCCCTAGATACATTAATTGAATTCTCAAGAGAAGTTAAACCAGTGATGCTTCTATAGAGGTAGAGAAAGAGAAGTTTCTATTGAGAAAAATGACTCACAGTTGTAGGAGTGGGTAAGTCCAGTCCAGTTCAAGTTCTTGGGTCAGATGTCAAGCTGAAGGCTTTACCTGACTTGTGTAGCTATTGGGGACTAATGGACCAGGAAGCAGGAAACTGATGACCACAGACTACTATATAAGACAAGTTAAATGACTCCAAGGTCCACAATCCACTGATGGCTTTTGGGATAGACAGGGAATATTGCAGGAGGTCAACAAACAGGATCCAGACCCAGCAGAAGTAACAAGCATTCCCACAGGATCTGCTGAACAAGGAGCGGCCACAGCTTTGTGGAGGCTTTCTTCTAATTGCATCAAAGTACTTCACTCTTCCAAATGGCTGGCTTCTTGTGGAGTTAGTTACTTTATTTAGATCTCATTGTGGAATTGATTATTTTGTGTTAGATCACATCATAGGAGATTACTCCCAAACTAATGAGAACCCTGGCCAACCAAGTTGACACAAAACCTATCTATGACACTAGAGTTTCTGAGGTTAGAAATCTTTACCGCAGTAGACTTTCTCATCTTTTTCATGCAGAACAACTAATGATTCTGAATTCCTGGTCTTTTCTGTTAGCCCAATGCTTAACCTACTGGACAACCCAGGCTCTTTCAAATGTTTAAGGAGATATTGTCAACTTACTGTACTAAAAAGTTGTAATGGTTAAATTGTTGATACTCAACTCCCTGCACATTTCTGTAAGGTGAGCTTATCAAACATTGGTATTAATTTGAGAATGTTTTTAGAAGATACAACTTTTTGCTTTCAATCTTTATGTTCAAAGAGAAATGTTTTTTATACAAAGAGAGTTGATTTGCAAGCGTAAATTAGTTTAGTAAGGTAATCCAAATAGAAGCATCACATAATGCCCTCTTCAATTATGTTCTATTAGGTTTTGTCCTATACCTTACTAATAGGTATATGTCCCATTTTTATTCGTAGTTTCCTTTAAAATGTACCCTTATCAATGAAAACATATTATAAAATTGCCATTTTAAGTTTTCAGTGATAACCAGAGTGGATTTAATGCATACATCTTAGATAATACTATCAGATTCCATGAGATGGGTATGGCCCATCATTATTCATAATTATTTTAAAACTTATTCATATTAGTATTAAGATGTTATGGAACGGAGAGTTTACTCTTTGAGGTTCCAATAATTCCAAAATAAGTGGATTTAATATGTCTTGACTAAAACATAGATTTTATATACTACGCAGTGTACATAACAATCAGTAAAATGCCCCAAGACCAACTGAAAACTTGAAGCTAGAAGATAATCTGGTCAGTCGCTGTGTAGCTCAACAGATGGCTCTTTAATCATTATTTAAATATGTCAGCACTATACTGCTATTGGTAACTTTTAAAAGTTAATATAAAATGGCAATATTGACTGAATATTCATATATAAATTGGTTCTCTAAAAAAAAAAATCAAGAAAACTTTATTAAAATTGAAAGAGAGAAGATACAAATGACCACAATATAAAAGTAGAGATATTACAAATAACTCTATAGAAATTAAAGGACACAAGAGAATGTTATGAAACAACTGTAGCCCCCCCAAAAGCTTGATAACTTCTAAGTTCAATGGCTCTATTTCCACAAATACTTAATCTACCCAAACTTATTCATGAAGGAATGGAAAATCAAAAGAACATCTGGTTGTTTCAAACCACTGACCTAGTGGTTAAAAGCCCCACAAGTGACCACCACGCCACCAAGTTCTTCTCTGAGGAAAATGAATCAGGAATCCAAACTGCCCGCCAACAACAGAACTCTCAGGGGTTCTACAAGTGTTTGTAGGCGAGTTAACACCAGGCTAACCGTAAACTCTTCCAAAAAGTAGAACAAAGAACACTTATTTTTACCCAATCTATGAAACCAGCATTATGCTAATCCTAAAGCCAGACATAGACACCACAAAGAAGGAATAATGCAGACCAGTATTTCTTATAATGATTAGAAAGTCCTCAAGAAGATACTAACAAACATTATCCCAACAGCCTATTAAGAGAACTAGGCACCGTGACCAAAGAGGCTTTATTCCAGGATGCCAATCAATCACCATAATCTACCTTAATACTTGAATTAATTTAGTAAAGCGAAGAGTACCATGTCAACACAAAAGTGAGTTTGGCCTCTATCTAATGAGCAATCTGAAAAAAATTAAGAAAACAATTGCATTTGCAATAGTATCTCAACAAAAAAATAACCAAAGTATAAATTGAAACAAATTTGAAAACTACAATGAAATTATAAAACTATGCTGAAAAAGATTAAAATCATGCAACCTGTTGCTATACATTCCAACTCATAGCACCCATATTGAACAGAATGGAACTGCTTCAAGGTATTCCAAAGCTATGGTGTTTGGGGAGCTGATTGCTACATCTCTCTCTCTCATGGCATGATTTGCTGAGTTCAAACTGCTAATATTTTAAGTTAGTAGCCATACACTTAATCCTTGCTCTCCCAGAGCTCCTTGAAATAAATCAAAGTAGACCTAAATAAATGGAAAGATAGACTGTGTTTTGGGATTACAGTACTTAGTATAATTAGAATGTCAATATTACCCAAAGCAATCAAAAGTCTTAATGAAATTCTGGTCAAAATTTGAACAATATTGTTTGCAGAAAGGAAAAAAGAAAAACAATTCTCAAATTGAATAGCAATGGACCTCAAAGAGACAAAGCAATTTTGAAGAAATACAAAGTAGGATTCATACTTGCTGATTTCAAAACATCCTATACATCTACAGTAATCAAAGTAGTCTAGTATTTGTACAATAATAAATACGCAGACCACTGGAATAAAATTGGGAGTTCAGAAGTAAGTGCACATATCTACAGTTGATTGATTTTTAGGTTACTGAGTCCAAATAGTGTATCCAATAAATGGTTCTAAGGCAGTTGTATATCTACAAGAAATTATGAACTCATACCTTACACCACACGCAAAAATTGACTCAAAAACACATAAATGACCTAATGTAAAAGTAAACAATACAACTCTTAGAAGAAAACATACAACATGGCTTTAGGACCTGGTTTTTAACAATAGATTTTTAGATTGGACATCAGAAGTACAAACAGCAAAATAATAGATACACTGAACTTCATAAAAATTGAAACCTTTGTTCAACGAGTGTCTACCAAAAAAGTGAAAGGACGACTTACAGAATGCTAGAAAATTTTGTGTAATTGTATATTTTATAAAGTTTATCACCCAGAATATATAGAGAATTCCT